AGGAAAAGTGTATTTTGTGAATTATGTTAGGACTAGAGGCCCGGTACATGAAATTCATGATGGGGATAGGAGGGAGGCCCTCAGCCCAGCCTGCACCCTCTTCAATCCGGCCTAAACTAGCAGTAGGACATCCCTCTCACAATCCTGGACTGCTGGCTCCTAATTGCTCACCTGCCTGCTGGCCTGATAGCCCCTCACTGCCTCTGCGTGCTGGCCTGATCGCCCCAACTGTCCCCCCTGCCAGCCTGGTCACCCCTAACTGCCCCCTCCCTGCCGGCCTAGTCACTCCTAACTGCCCCCCTCCAACCGGCCTGGTCGCCTCTTACTGCCCCCCTGCCGGCCTGGTCGCCCCCAGCTGCCCCCTCCCTGCTGGCCTGGTCACCTCCAACTGCACACCCTGCTGACCTGGTCGCCCCCAGCTCCTCTCCCCCCCCACCCCTGCCGGCCTGGTCGCCCCACACAGCCTGCTTGTTCAGGCATTTGGTCGTCCCTCACTAACCCCCCTGCCGGCATGGTCATAGGCAGCCATCTTGTGAGGGTTAATTTGCATATTACCTCTTTATTATATAGGATAATTTGCTTATTAAGAGAAGAATCTGTGCCCCAAATTACATTGATTAAAAACACACACATTACAAATCTGATGTGATTCTTTGGTTTATTTAAAACTTTCTCTTGAGGAGAACTTTCTTTGAAGAACTTTCTTAGTCTGCACTAAGATGAAGCAAAGGCATTCTTGGCTTCCTTCAGAAAGTTTATTACCTTACGTGTCCAAAACTTGCAGCCATGCGATCAACTATTAAGCTTACAGAGTGCCAGATGCCTTTTCTGTTACCTGTCTGCCACTCCTCTCAGCACAATGGACAGGATTTGGCCAACTCTGATGAAATGTTTACTGTTGTTCCACTCTGGGGCTTTTCACACAATAAGTCTGTGATGGTCCCTGTTCAGACTTTGCATCTTGTTTTTATAAGCTGTATCCTTAATAATTGACCAGGTTCCTTCTCCAGTAGATTTAAGATCTGTGTTTTTATTGATTTCAGGGAGGAAGGGAGAGGGAGAGAGAGAGAAACATCAATGATGAGAGAGAATCACTGATTGGCTGCCTCCTGCACGCCCACACTGGGGACTGAGCCTGCAACCCAGGCATGTGCCCTGACCGGGAATCGAACTGTGACCCTCTGGTTCATAGGTCGATGCTCAACCACTGAGCCACATGGGCCAGGTGGCAGTAGGTTAATGATTTTAGAAAAAGTATTTTTACTTAGCAAACTAATTTCAATTGCTGTGTGAGTTTTGCATGGAGGAAGACATGGATTTCTCCGACTCTGTAGTGTGAAGTGAAAAAACAATGCCTTAGTAAGCATTTGTAGATTTATCTGGATCATCTAATTTACAGGGTATTCCTCCCCTCCAATTTGTATGTGTTTAACCAGTTAACTACCACGCATCCAAAACTGAAACTATCCCCATATTTTGAATTTAATTTTAAAAATCAATTAGCAACAAATATTATAAAAATAAATATAGTACTCACAATTTGGGTGTTCTTGAATATTTTCAGCTAAAAATTCTCACAAAAAATGATTTTAAAGTTGGTCAGGGCTGCCACTAAGGGAAAACATTTTTTTTATAGATGCCCATTGCCGTGTGGGGAAGGTCCGCTGCTTGTGTCTACAGACGCTTATGGCGGACAATCGGTTAAGAACTTAGGGGAAAACCCTACAGTGAGTAGGCATTTGGAATCAGACCTGGGTTCAAATCCTAGTTCTTCTATTCACTAGGAGTAGCTGTGTAATCCAGAAAAATATATTGAGTTTCTTTAAACCTTAGTGGTCTTATCTTTAAAATCTCACATCATAGGGTTGATATAAGTATTGAATTAGATATTGTATGTAAAATGCTTAACATACTATGTAACACTTCAGAAATAATAAGTGAGAGCTATTATAATAAGGAAGAGTATGAATGACCCTAGATGTGATACATGGAAGTTCTCTATTGTTTGGACATTTTCTCCTCACAAAATAGAAAAAGGTGGCTTCATGTGGACATTATTAAAGATAGACTTGGTTACACTATTGAGAAACTATGTTTTTGTACCTCACATGTTGTCTAATTCCTTCCTAAAACATTACTTGACTAGTTTGTTATCTCAGTTTGCATTCCTGAGATAGAACAGGTGTTGATTGCTGACTTTGTTGTGGAGAAGAGATAGTAAACCCCATTTGGCTTATCAAAAAAGGACTAACATCCATGTGCAGATGTCAGAGGAAAGAAATGAATGTGAAATTTCAGTGTCACAGAGGAAAAATATTTGCTAAGACATTAACATCATGGATCTAGCACATGAGATTTTCCACCAGCCAAAGTAAATTAAGGAGGAAAAAAATAGGGAACTTTAGATTTTGACCTGATATAATATAATTAGATAATTTTAAAATGTGTTTTTTCTATAATGGATCAATTCTGTAATTAATTAATTCAATAATTAATGTTCATCAATGAATTAATATAATCCTATAAAAACTATTAATGCTATAATAAAATTTATTTTAAAATACTAATATCAGACTAAAATTTTTAGAAAGAACTAAATATAGAGTTGGTATAAGAAAATACTATTTTCTGCATGTTTGCAAATACAATTGATTAAGTAAATGCATGTCACATATAAATAGTTATTCATTTATTCTATTTTAGGAATAGTCTAGTGTTGTAGATACTATAAAAGATGCATAAAATCCAGGGAAATAAGACATAAACACATGCTACAGTCAAATACAAATGTCATGTATGATTAAAGCTAAGTATAATTAAGTTTAATACATCACCCCTCACTTCCTATGCTTTGAGAACCATCTTCTGGAATTTCTATTAACCCATGTTCTAAGTTGAAGTTGTCAAATCAATATTTGATGTACCATTCCAAAGAGCCTTAAGATCTTATAGAGAAAGTTATTTCAGATAAAAGGAATTCACATGTGGTATGGAGTCATAGGGAGTCACAATTCAGTTTGGGAAGCCCATGTGTCTTAGCTGTGATGTGTAACAGGTCAAGAGTTAAATTTGAAACTTTCTATTCATCATCTCTTTTTTCTTTGGCTCGGGGCTGAAAGCAGCCCACTCTGCCCACAACAAGCTGTGATGAAATACAGCAGGTCTGCTCTGAAGTGCTCTGGCTCCCATTACAAAGAAACATCTCTTCTTTGTTCATCATCGAAGTACAAAAGATGCTCTAAAATTCCAAGGACAAATCACTGAATTAACCAGAAAACAGGGTGCAGGGTTAAGGACCACCCTACCTCTTGTGTTTATATTGTTCATAGTTACAGTGCTGTAGAGAGTACACACACACACACACACACACACACACACACACACACACAGTAGGAGTTCACTTCAAAAACGAAGCATGAATGTAGATTTCAAGATTTGTTGGAAGAATTGAATATTTGCTATCTGAAAGGAAACACCACACTGTATTTATTTTTCTATTATAAACCTAGTGTTTTGAAAAGCTTTCCTTAGTTTCTTAAATATGATTGGGTTCATAAAGGAAATTTACTTTCAGAAAACAACATCTCTGTAGTTTATCTGGGATGAGTCATGAAAATCTTGCTGCTTAGTTGTTCTGAGGAAGGACTATTCATCCTGTGAGTTCTAAATAAGCCCATGCACTAACCTACTATATTTAAGGGTTTAGGCAAAATTTGTAGTGTAGCCCCCAGGATATTAGAGCTCTCTTCACAGCACTTTGAATCCTAGCTTTTGAGTTCAGTATATTTACAACATACCTGTTGGTTAAGTTCTTTTGCTATTTACCACATACCTGTTGGTTAAGTTCATGGAATGACTCAAAGGTGCTTCCCACAGGACAGGTTAGCGACTGCTTTTGTTTTGTTTTTTCCTGTATTTTGCTATAAAATATACTGTTTAAAATTTTGATTTTGTAGTTGATCTGTTTTCTCACAATTCTTTGTGCTTTTATTCACATTCCTGTAAATGACTGACATTAAGAAAACAAAAGCAACAACCTGATTTTGAAAAAAAGAGGCCATGGAACAATAGAATTCCGTATCACTAAAAATTACACCACCCTCTTCCCTTGACTTTTCCCGTTCCCTCTCTCTATGTCAAGCCCCTCTCCAACCTTTGTGGATTTCTCTGCACATTGTGACTTTCATTTGGTTCCTGGAAGGGTTTGAGGTTTGAATTTTCTGATGGAGTTGGAATCACTTTTAAAAAATAAAAAGTTTTATTTTACACTTTAGATCCACAGAATTGTCGCAAAGATAATACTGGGGGGTTCCCAAATACCCCACACCCAGTTTCCTCTATAATCAGCATCTTACATTAGTCTGATACATTCACCATAATTAGTAAACCAATATTGATACATTATAATTGACTCAAGTCCATACTTCAGAGTTCCTTGATTTTCCCCTAATGTCACTTTTCTGTTGCAGGATCCCACCCCGGATGCCATATTACGTTTAGTTGTCATGTGTCGTTAGGCTCCTCTTGGCTGTGACAGTTTTTCAGATTTTCCTTGTTTTTTTATTACCTTGATAGTTTCAAAGATTATTGGTCATGACTTTTATAGAGTGTCTCTCATTTGGGATCTGTCTGATGTTTTTCTCATCATTAAACTTGGGTAATGTTTTGAGGGAGGAAGACCACAAAGGCAAAGTGCCTTGCTTATCACTTCCTATCAAAGAAACATACTATAAACATGACTGATTACTATTGATGTTGACCTTGATCATTTGGTTTGAGATATTTGTCATGTTAGAATCACATTTTCACTTTTTCTTGAAGACCATCAAGGCGTTTTTCTGAAGATTTTAGTAATACATTAAAGCTATAAGGAAGCTAACTGAAACTGATCTTTTGTTTTTTCTTTATTGGTGATGTTGTAAAGCTGCAACAAGTCTTTAAGTAGTTAGAAAAAATATAATTTCAATGGTGGTAAAATATCTAATCTTTCTTTGTGTTAGGTGGGAATGAGATCCCGAAACCAGGGTGGTGAAAGTTCATCCAACGGGCATATCTCCTGCCCCAAATCCTCCATCATAAGCAATGTTGATGATAAAAGTCTCTCAGAAGATGCAAAAAAGAAGAACAAATCAAATAGAAAGGAAGATGATGTCATGGCCTCAGGAACTGTCAAACGACACCTAAAACCATCTGGAGAAAGTGATAAAAAGAATAAGAAATCCTTGGAGTTATCCAAAGAAGACCTCATCCAGCTACTCAGTATAATGGAAGGAGAGTTGCAGGTAGAATCAAATTTTCTAAACTATTGTGTTTCTAGTTTCTAAGCTATAAAATAAGAGATTATGAATCTGTCTGTCTCACTGAATTACTAACTTCATGGGGAAAAGGGCTATGTTTTTCTTATTCATTTTAAAATCCCTATTGTCTGGCATCAGTTTGCACTGAATATATATTTGTTGAATGAAAAAATAAATGAATAGCTGATTTTAAGCTTCTCTAGAAGCAGAAAATTTCTTCATGATATGATTTTGGTAATAATTTAACACAGGCCCTATACTTAGTAGTAGGTAATCTAATTTAATTAGGTAGCTTATTTAATTTAGCCTTTGACTATGGTTGAAAATCAGAAAATTCATGATTATTAGAAGACCAAGATCAAGTGCCACTTTTGATTTTTTCCAGAAGGTAGAGTAAAAGAGAGATCAAGAGACAGAGGGAAGAAAGAGGGAGAAAGGGAGGGAAAGAGAAAGAAGGCTTTGTTTAAACCAGCCTTACACTTTTCTTATTTTTATAAGTTTCAGCTTAATGTCATAGGATTTGAGATGCACACAAATAAGCAGAACATTGTGTTGTGAAGACCTATTACTTTCACAAAGTATTTTCAAGTCTATTATCTCATTCAATATCAATAAAAATGTGGGTACCATTATCTATTTATATATATAAAAGGCTAATATTCTAAGTGTCCGTCCAACTGGTAGCTATGATACGCACTGACCACCAGGGGGCAGATGCTCAATGCAGGAACTGCCAAGCTGCAGTGACTTGGCAGCGGCGGTTCAAAGGTGACACACCCTGAAACCAGAGAGAAGGGAGCCTGATTCCTCACGGGGCCATGCAATTCCACCTTCGGCTGGGGCACTGTCACCCCGAATCTGGTTTACTGCACACTTGTGTTTGCATTACACACCCTGTATGACAGCAACTTTGCAGAGTGCCCTCTCGCACTCCGGGACCCCTTGGGGGATGTCGGAGAGCTGGTTTCGGACTGATCCCCGCAGGCCAGGCCGAGAGACCCCACCCGCTGGAGGGACCCCGCTCACTCTGCAGACGCCCTTCGAACCTCGGGCCACCCTAGGTGCGGCCGGCCAGGGAGGGACCATGGGAGGTTGGCTCCAGGGTGTGTCTGGTCCTTCTTGTCCAGTCCCACCCTGCTGGCCACCTTCTAATTAATTCCTTTCAACGTGCACGAATCTGTGCACCGGGTCACTAGTAGTTTATAATGAGGAAACTGAGGTCCAGAAGGGTTAGGGGTTTGTCCAGATCTCATCTTAGGCCTCCTCCTTCTTGGTTCAGTGCTCTTTCCACAGTCTGTTCTCACTAACCTTCTGTAGCTACCTGAGCCATGTCCCCCATTCAGTGTCTGTTCTTAAGGACCCAAGAGGAAGTTGGGATTCTTCTGAGTACCTGAGCTCTAGACAGTTATATTTCTGGAAGTGGGGAAACCATAACTTCTTTTTCTGGTCTGTGTTGGGTCGGGGTGGGGTGGAGGAGAAGATGACGTAAGAGTGGAGATGCCGTTTCCCTTTTTGTTTTCGTTAGGTTCTAGGGCAATGATTTTCAACTGGTGTGCTGGAAGAATTTTTTAAAACATGTAATACCTGACTATTAGTCAGGGTCATTGACCTCTGTTCCTTTAAGATTGTCAAGTGAAAAGATGACAACAGCCAACACAAACAATAGCTGTCCAGTGTAAATGAATCAAAATTATAACTATTTTTTGTCAGATTGACAAAATATATATTTTTTTGGCGTGCAGCAGAATTTAAGTAATTACTTTATGTGTGCCATGAGATGAAAAAGGTTGGATACTAGGGGAATACTAATGATTGTGTGAGATAAACCTTTGTTTGGAGCTGTTAGCATCAGAGGTATTATTTTCAACCTACCCTAATCTGTTCCTGTTCTCATCTGTGTGTGCACATAGATAAGGAAACCCCTGGGGTGAAGAGAAATAGAAAACATTACAAAACTCAAATTAAAACAAACAAACAAACCTGATTGAGCTTACCATTTACCTTTGGATAAAAATCACATTTGCATTTCACAACAAAAGATGAAATTTTCCAGAGCACCACCATTACTAACAATAGCTCCACCACTCTCAGAAATGTGGTTAATGTTTTGTCTATTAACATATTGTGTAAGGAGGCAGAATATATTAGTTCAAGTTTTTAAGCTGCCCCCAGCAGACGTTATTGACCTGAGTGGAAGGTACAATGGTTGCCTTTGAAATCATCACAAAACAACGTCACTTCTCTCCAGGCAGGGTGGCCTGTGTGGAGCCTGTGGCTCTTCCAGACTCTTATTTCTGCAGAAGGCTGTTATATCATGGTGGATTCTGAAAGGCATTTAAGGTTCATGTGGCTTTTATGTTTGTCGTTGCCAGATACAAATCCATAGCCTGGGCTTTCAAATACAGGGTGAGGCACACATAGGTTTACAGTTGTTTGCATGGGAAAGAATACAATAATAAATAATAATACAATAAACTCTGTGTTTCATGTACTCACAACTGTAAACTTACTTTTGCCCCACCCCTGGACATACCCAAGACATCAAAGAAATTAGCAAGAAATACATTCTGCTCTCCATTAATTTTTATGAATACAGGATACCTTAGTTTATACAATAGATGTATTTCTGAGCAGTAATAAGTAAGTAAAAAGTGTAAGATACTTGTGGGGGAGGTAGTGAACAAAAAGAGATATGAAAAACCTGATATTTCAAGGAATTCTATGGTGCATTCATTTGCAAAGCAAATAATTCATCCTCCACATACTTATATGAGCTCATATACATATGTAAGTATGTGTACTTGTAAATTCAGATTGTGCAATATTAGACTTGTTAAAAATGAGGATGTTCCTATATTTAGAGCTGACGATATGTGTTTGGGTAGCCGACACCTGTACTTTATTAGCATTATCACATGGGGGGGAGGTGCAGCTAAGAGTGGGAGGCAGTTGGCATTAGCAATCATGAGTAGGCTGGTAAAAATGTGGCAGCTATGTGCCAGGTTTGCCAGACTAAAGATAAGAAAACAAATCTATATAAAGATTTTGTATTGAGAGGAGAGGCAGGGATATGCCTTGTGAGACAAGTTACCCCAGCTCAGGTCTATATGCCATTTGGCTAGACATGTCTGAGCATTTAGTGTGTTGTCTCCTAGACCTTCACAGTCCACCTATTACTCTTCCTTTATAGAGTGGCCATACATACTCATATACTCTTACTCTGGAGGTGGTGTTCCAAGGTTCTATAAAATTTTGGGACTGACAGGCATTTTGAGATATCTTATTTACCTCTTTTATACTATATGTGTAAAACTGGCGCTCAATGTATGTGAGTTGCCAGGGTTGCTCAGCACTTTAGTTACATTTGCTCTAGACCTAAATTCTGTCTTATCTCCCCAATATTATAAGTCCTCTTTTCTGTGTGTCACCCTACTTCTCTGTCTCTCAGTCCAATGCCCCTCCCACTGTATCATTTACACTCTAGAGATATTCAAGGGTGGGTTCCTTTATATTTATTCTTTACCTTTAGAATTTCTTTCAAGCAGTCTAATGTGAACTTTGAGGCCAAAGCCATTCTGTGAAAAGATAAAATCTTTTTAGGTAAGAGAAATAGAGTTAAGAGAAATGTTTCACATCATGGAGGTGGAATATAATCTAAGCCATGAAGTTTGGTTGTGATCTGGGAGTGAGAAAAGTGGGAAGATAGCAGTACCATATGGCCATGGGCTGGGTACTATACCAATTGGGGGGCTTCATATTCACTATGCGGGTTGTGCCCTGAAGTTGTGCAACAGCTTAGCCTTGGGGGACTGGAACTGCTAAACAAAAGAAGTAGGGTGGCCCAGCCAGGGTTGCTCAGTGGCTGAGCGTTGGCCCATGAACCAGGAGGTCACAGTTCAATTTCCAGTCAGGGCACATATCCAGGTTGCGGGCTTGATCCCCAGTGTTTTCAAGTCACACCTTAGTAGATGGTGCAGGAGGCAGCCGATTCATGTATCTCTCTCATCTCTCTCATTCTATCTCTCTGTCCCTCTCCCTTCCCGTCTCTAAAATCAATAAAAACATTTTTTTTTAAAAAAAAGACACACAGAGAAGAGGGCTTATAATATTGGGGAGATAAGATTAATATCAGGCCTTGGCTGGTGTAGCTCAGAGGTTAGAATAATACCAGGTCTACCTGTAGGAGATGTACCCTGAAGCACTTGGGGAAAAGGAGGGGATGTAGGCCCACACAGGCTTTTTATGCTAATTCTCTTTCTCAGACTCCTTGTTGATCTCTTCATTCTCTCCAACTCTGTATCCAAGGTTCTGGACATTAGAGATAGTTCTGTAGATTTTCTGGTTCTAGTGGTCTGCCACCTGGGGAATCTATGATTCCATCTATGGGAATTTGTTGAACCAACATTATAAACAGCATGACCTTCATTGTTAGCATTGGCACCTTGCAGAAATTTGCAAATTTGCTGTCCAGATATCCAGGGAACTCTTGAAGTGCACCTTTAATGGACATATATTATAAACGGAGTTGTCCTTCCCAGGAACCTTTGCATTTTAAAGTATCATGTCCTGAACTGGTGATGTCATGACCTTTGTAGACAAAAGCTTGTTGTTTCAGCACAGTGACTGGCTGGCGCTGCCTGCATAGAAATTGCAGACTGGTTTTGTGTCATTGACTGCTTCCAATAACAAGTGCTTTTCAATAAATTGGAACATTTTTACTCTCTGGGTGAAAAACTGGTCACATATTTCCCAGACTAAGCTGAAAATAATAAAATAGAACACCCAGACCATTATTTAGGCACCATGATTAATTTCCCTGTGTATTTGTCCAAAAATAGCACTTTAAAGAAGTCATTCAATTTGGCTGTACTAAAAATGACTAAAGTTCAAAGGAAATGATACTGACATAAAAAAAACCATAATACAGGAAAATTTGGCAGAAGGATATTCTTATAAAATGATTAAAAAACAGTGTCCTGCCCTAA